CACAGATTATTTTGTACTGCATGTGTGCTACTCGTGTAAAAAAAGAGAGCGAAAATCAGATAATGCATAAAACCCACGGTTTGCGTTAATGCTTACTTTGTACGGTCTGTCATCCTGAATGGGCGTTTCTGCAAAGATCCACTTATCTCCGTGATCTTTTCCTTCCTGACGCCAAACGAGTCTTTCCGTCTTGTTTGTCTTGAGAATGACGTTTAACTCTCCGATATTTCTTCCATACATATGGTACCAGAATTGCAGGCACGCGGGCTTGTCTGGTGCCAACCAATCACTGACGAGTCGAGCTCGGTCTCCAGGAAAACGCTGAGAAGCTTCGATGAAAACAAATGCACCTAATACAATGGAAAAGATGTCTATGTTATGGGCAAATATCTCCAGTACTTAGTGCAGGATTACATAAGCTACCTTATCAATAGGATTTAACGATCCGATATACTTTCCTATACAGCCAGAGGCTAAATGTCTCGAACATCTGAACCAAAATGTACTGTTTTACATATCTATTGCTGAATTCAGCCAGCTTTGAAACTCAAAAGTTCTTCGCTTGGTTTGTAAAGGAAAAACATTTCGCAATGGAACCTGTTGTGTCTTTCTGTGTGATTATACAAAACTTTTGGGTGAGAACAGTTGCACATGATATCAGACGTTATCGTCAAATAGGACAATGTCTCGAGCTGTTGGCAGTTAGTAGTCTTAATATCAGTATCCATATTGTTGATATTCCCATCTGTTGTTATCTCAGTTCTTGTTTCAAATACGAGTTTAGGGATAAATCAGGTGACGAATTGATGTACAAGTAAGTACCTTTGTCTGTAAACGTGGTGTGATCAAAAGCGGGACCGGTGAGTTCAGATGGGGTTTTCCCTAAGCCAGTGCTCCACTGAAATTCTGTACTGTTTTCACTTGTCAGACCACACAAGCCATTTTCAAAGTGGCAGTAACCTAGAAAATGATTATGTATTAAATCCATGATAATCTTTCCCCATCGTACCTGAGGCGTATTTTTACCAACACCTCAAATGTACACACACACACAATCTTAGAAACTCTGAGATAAATTGCTATGTCCCCAATCCAAGAACGGAATATGCAAAAGGTAGCCTGCACTATAGAGGATCTGTTCTTTGGAACAAGATTCCATCGGAAATCAGAAACCTATCTAGTTTAAAACTGTTTAAAATCTCACTGAATGGGAAAGATTATTTTTAGTGCACTGTAAATAAGAGAAAGTTTTATTACATAGGTTTTTACTATACCCTAGTTAATTAGTTCGGTGGTTAATGTAATGTAATGTTAGTTAATCCATTCTTGTAAATATAGTTAATTTATTCTTTGTAACTTTTTACACGACGCCTAGGAAGACCATTTTTATGATAAGATTTTCGTGTTTAAATAAAGATTGATTGAGACAAAACAATTCCTTTGCTAAAGTACCCTGTAATACGTTCGTTTCTCTGACTGCAAAACGTTTCAGTATCCAAGTAATTTCTAACCAACATGGTACAAAGCGTCCATAATCATATTCGTTCGAACGACAAGTTTTCATATGTATACGAGCTGTTCCTCGTCCCAGGCTGCTTGTGCTCTTGAAAATAATTCTATTCTTTACTTTTACTGTCATTTATCCTTCTCACAGTGACGACCGAGTTTCTACTAATTGTCGATAAAAGATCCTGGGCCATCTTATTTTTACTTTGGTTATATTTTTATAAGTTTGTATATTTTTTTCTAAGTTTGTAAAGCGCCATGGACTTAGGATATGTGTGCTATATGAATAAGATCATTATCATCATCATCATCATCATCATCATCATCATCATCATCATCTTGACTTCAACATTAGGACCTTGCCGACTTTCTCTCTTCTCTCCATCTTTCCCTTCCCCTGCAATTCCAACCTTATTTTCTGCCACACACGACATATCATTCTAACATACCTCTAAACGAATTGCACTGTGAGTTGCTATTGCTTTCCAGTTCGCAGGCCAGGTTGTTCAAGGGACAATTTGCCGGGCCTGTAAGATGAGATGTATAAATTAGATCTGGAACAACCACATTGCGCAATGAAACCATATCTAACTGTAATGAAAGAGCAGCTTATTCCGATAGGGTTTAATTTCAGTCAATCTGTTCTGCGATATACTCAGTATTTCCCCTTCATGTTTTACAATCGATTATTTGAGATTATTTCACTAAGCAGGACTGATCCGTCAAGGGACGAATTGTTATCACATACCACAATAAAAGTATTAGAAGCATTGAGCTCACCACAAACTGTTGGAAAGTGCGTGTGATCTGGACACCAGTTGTCACCCACTCTGCAGGTGGAGGACCATGGGATGCACGTTCCATCAGCACATTGAAACTCCGAACATGGCTTCTCTAAAAGGTTGAATCATATCATTTGATCTGAGAAAATTCACTTTCCTATTTTTTTTTCGCGTCAATTCCGCTGTAAGGGTTATAGCTGGTTTTCACATGA